AAACCCTGCCTGTTCTTCTCCATGCACATTTGCATAGAAATAAATGTGCAGTATTTTAAATACATATTAATATGAAATGTCTTTGAATATTAGTAGCCTGAGTTGGTAGTTATGTTGTTGGTTTGAGCTCCGAGCTTGGTGATTTGGTTGCAAACGTTTTGTCCCCATTCGAGGAGACATTGTCAGTGCTCTTTCCAAAGTGCACAAGATGTCTCCTCGAATAAGGATGAAACGTTTACAACCAAATTGCCAGGCTCGGAGTTCAAACCAACAACATTAATATCTATCTATCTATCTATCTATCTATCTATCTATCTATCTATCTATCTATCTATCTATCTATCTTTCTTTCTTTCTTTCTTTCTTTCTTTCACACATATGCAGGATGAGGCATCAGGAAAACCTGGTACAACTAAAGTTTGAGAAATGCTGCAGTAATAAAATACACACAACATTTTTATATAAAAGAGAGGGTAAATTTGATTTAAATGGAGTCAATTTAAATCAGGATTTAAATCACTAGTAAATAGGTTTGATTTAAATCATAACTTTTAAAGAGCAACTGTCACCTCTGTCCCTCAGCTGTTTCTCCTCTGACTTACCGACAGTCCCATTCACGTTAATGAGACGGCTGGTGATGCGGCTGTTGTGATCCAGGCCCAAGTAAGTAGTAGGAAAATCAGTCAATGAAAAAACAAACTTTATTTGAACAGCTGAGAATTACTTCATTCCCAGCGTCGTTCAACTAAATTAAAGCAAATTCCTCCCAACACAAATTCCTCAGTCCTATCGCAAACCTTGTCCAATTAGGTAAACTGCAAAAGGCTTTTCTTGGCAAACATTCAGAAGTCACAGATACAATAATAAATACAAGACGTAGACGAAAAAGAAGACGAAGCTACCAACGTTGTTTTCCGGCAAAGCCCAAACGCCATTGCTGGTCTGTTTTAAGCCTTATGGGCGGGGCCAATCATCTCTTGGCCCTACTCCCGAGATGTCCTCTTTGCTTGAGCTGCTCTTGCCTTCTGGCAGCTCTTCTCATGTGTGCATTAGGAACAGGCTCCTCCTGTTCCTCTGCCTCATTCCTATCAGTCTCTGGAGGCTCTGGAGTCTGCACCTCACTCCCCGATGGCCCTGGCCCCATCTCTGCCTCTGACACAGAGCCCTCATCCGGGCCTTCCCCAGCCTCCAGGACTGGCTCATATTCTTCCTCAGCCTCATCGCTGTCCGACTCCGCTGCCAGCTCCGCAGGCTGCTGGCGGACCACAACAGCAGCAGTGACACAAGGTGAGGGACGTGGCCGGCAGCAGGTGAATGGATGGCCACTAACAGGCGTTGCCATGATGGATCTGAAATGACAGGTGCTCTTTAAATGTAAGGACTCATTCTTGCTGGTAGTTAGAATCTTTAATATTATTATTTGCAAATAAAATGAAGGTTTCCTATTTAGCTTGCAGAGCTTGGATTCATTGAATGAGTTTACTAAAAATGTAAATATTGCAGAATATATACAGCCTCATGCTACATAAATAAACTCCATTTCATGCTGAATACACTAAATTATTAATGTATGTTAAATAGAAAACTTAACTTTAGATAAAGTTTTATTCCAAAAGCATTTTATTAAAATAAATTTGATAAAAATAAAAAAAACCAATTTAATTTTTTTTTAAAATCTGATTCTTTTATTTCTTTAAAAAAATCATCGATTTTTATCCAACCTGATAAAATATAACATTTCTATATAAAATATAACATTTTTAGTCTTTTATTATTGGTTGCATTGTTTTGTTCTTCTTTTGCAAGCTACCCAAGCCTTACAATTGAGGCAGCATAGCTATCTTGTAAAGTTTAAAAAAAAAAAAAAAAACTGCCCCTCCGACAATTACTTTCAGAGACAAATGGATTTCGAGCTGAGGAACTCTGCAAAATTATTCCACCATAGAAAAGCTTTGTAGAGAAAAGCTTTCTTGTCTCTCACAGACTGCCAGGAACTCTTTAGGGTCATTCAGTGGAACATATTCAGGGTAGATAAAAGCCAGTATTTCTTAAAGGTAGCTTTACAAGACTTCTAGACAAATTGACGAGGATGTTAAGCCCTTTTTTTTCCTGATCAAATGTACATCTGTTCAGAAGTAAATGGTGGGATGGGGTGGCAGGCAGGGTTGAAGCAAACCAGTACATGAGGAGATGCCAAAGGAGTGCAAACTCCAGGCACCTTTTCTCTTGCTCACTCTGTTTCTCATCCTGTTTTTCTCTTTCAAATGTGTGGGTGTAGCAAAGGGATGGAGTTCTCTTATTAGAAACTTGAGAGGATCTCTGGCATTTGAAATTAACCCACCTGAGAGATACGGTTAGTTATATGCCGCCCTGAGGGATAATTATATTCAACTCCTGTCTGGTACTATAATATGCGTTATGCCATTCCAGGAAAAAATTTAAATATCTGATTTATTTTTGAAGTTCAATTCTTCTTGAGACCAGACTACTTTAGAGAATATCTCTTTCTATACAGCCTTCCTGCTAACTGAGATCAGCCTGAGAGTTTGCCTGTGCTTGCCACAAGCTAATATTGGAATTTTTTTTGAGAAGAGCCTTCTCTGGTAGCCACCCCAGTTCTTTGGAACGCATTTGCTGGTGAATTAAGAGATTGAACCTTCTGATTACTTTCTAACAAGTCCTACTTGCACATTCTTAAAGCAGGTTTTAAATTATGAATTTAAATTACTGGTTATAAGAAGGACCTGGGGTTTTATGTTTTATTGCAAACCAATATGTTTTGTTTAATGAATCAAATGATTCAGAATGTTGCCAGGATTTGTTGAACCACTCCTATCGCATCAAGTTTACATTTAAACAAGTTCTTTACTGTTATGGTTTGTTTTTGTTTTTTTAATTTGATTTATATGCCGTCCTTCTCCGGAGACTCAGGGCGGCTTACAATGTGTTAAGCAATAGCCTTCATCCTTTTGTATATTTATACAAAGTCAGCTTATTGCCCCCACAACTGGGTCCTCAATTTACCTACCTTAGAAAGGATAGAAGGCTGAGTCAACCTTGAGCCTGGCGAGATTCGAACCTGCAGTAATTGCAGCAGCTGGTCTTAATAACAGGGTGATTTAGACCACTGTACTACCAAGGCTATTGTACTACCAAGGCTATTGGTTATTGTTGAAACCTTCCTTTCATATTCTGTATTTCCTCTCCACCTTCTTCCTTAGTATCAGGGAGTCACAGTTCTATTTCTCTCTTATAAAAGGGGCTTTATTCCTGTTGCCATATTCTGAAATATTTCCATTGGACTTCTACAGTGTTTCCAGCACGTATCTCCCAACCTTCACATTTTTTTTCAGTAGAACAGATTCAGCTTGCCAAGCTGCAGAAAGCCTTTTTCATTAGGAGTTCTTGAAAAGATGCCAGAGATATATTTGGATGTGGTCATAAAGCTAACTGCCATCCAAGGAGTTCCCACCAAATTTGATGGGGCTCCATTCAGTTGAGTTACTTTAAGAGTGTGTCCTTAAGCTACAGCTACGTTTGGCTCCCTGGGGTGTTGCATTTTGTGTCAGTCTAACACGTGCCTTAGCATGTTTTTGATGATTCATTAGCCAAAGGCCTTAACATCATTACTAACACCATCAGTCATGACTATGCCCTTTTCACAGATACATATTCTACCTTGAAACTTCCATCAAATATTTTAGTCAGTTTATACATACATACATATAATTTCATAGCAATAGACGTTGCTATGTAACGTGAAACACGTTAACTAAGGAGTGAAATTCTATTGTTGCTGAAGACAAGGATGAAGTTCTAATACGTGGACTAATAAGTCATAAATCCAAATTACTGGTTGCCAAGAAGCTTGACTAATGTTACATATTTTACTACTTAGATGTTATTTATGTTTAAGCTTGTCATGGATGTTAACTATTTTTAGGAAGATTTCAACATGATTTGCACAATTGTCTAATCATGGACAATTGTGTTGAGGGCTCCAGATCAAATGATGAATAAGTATTAAGTGATGGGCATAGAAACAATCTTTTTGACATTAAAAAAAGATCAGAACAAGCATAGAAACATTAAACCCCACTAGAATTCATATTGGTTGTATCCTGTTTTCTTATTGTTGTAAAGTCAAAACTTGGCCAAATGCTCATTGTATTGTTTTTACAGATACTTTGTTTTTCCTTTTAAAAGTGTGTATTCCTAAACAAATTAGTGTGCATTCCCAATTAGTTCTGAACTTCTGAATATGGTCATATAAGGAGAGGAGTATAAAATGACTAAATCATGTTTACGGTAATCTAACTCTACCACTGCATGAAAGTAAATAGATAGAAACACTGAAAGTGCTCAGACAAGGTATATGTATGGTAGCTAGGCAATTGCCTCACAGACTGGCACAGGAATTTTGTAAGGTACTAGAAGCCCTGGTGGCGCAATGGTTAGAATGCAGCATTGCAGACTAATTCTTCCCACAGCCTGGAGTTTGATCCTGATGGGGCCCAGAGTTGACTCAGCTCTCCATCTTTCCGAGATCGGTTAAAATGAAGACCCAGATTGTTGGGGGCAATATGCTGACATTTGTAAACAACCACTATGGGGCAGTGTATAAGTCTTTATTGCTACTAATGTTTATATAATGGGCAGTGAAATAATTTTGTAGTAACCCGAGAAAGGTATATGACAAGGCAGTTACAACAGGTATGGTAGGGAGCATGCTGGTGGAGGGGAGGTGAATACCTTGTGAAAATGACTGTTTTGCAACTGGTCTTGCCCACCATGGTGGTCATTTTAGGAATAGCTAAGTATCTCACACTAATAATTTTGTGTTTGTATCTATCACCAATGCTCTCACAATGTCAGACATTGTCATGGCCGTCAGATATTCTCTAATCCTGATTAAAAATAATGAATCTTGCACTTTTGAAGAAAAAAGCAGGAACCACTGCTTTTAGTGAAAAGCAATTGATTTATTGCTTGATGTTCAGGTTCGATACTGTAACTCCCTGGATGAAGAGGAAAAGAGAGAACTCAAACTTTTCAGCAACCAGAGGAAGAGGGAGAACTTGGGCAGAGGCAATGTCCGGCCATTCCCCGTCACCATGACAGGAGCCATTTGCGAACAGGTAGACCATTCTCAGCGTTGTTGTTGTTGTTGTTGTTGTTGTTGTTGTTGTTGTTGTTGTTGTTGTTGTTGTTGTTGTTGTTCTTCTTCTTCTTCTTCTTCTTCTTCTTCTTCTTCTTCTTCTTCTTCTTCTTCTTCTTCTTCTTCTTCTTCTTCTTCTTCTTCTTCCTCCTCCTCCTCCTCCTCCTCCTCCTCCTCCTCCTCCTTCTCTTCCTCCTCCTCCTTCTCCCCCTTCCTCCTTCTCCTCCAACCCATCAGCATCTTATCACCATGACATGAAAGCACCTATGCACCATGAGCTATCAAAAGCCATAGGAATACATTATGGCAGCAAAAGACTTATTCTTCACTTTGACCTTGCAAAAAATTCTTACTCATTAAAAATATCCCCAGGGGTAGGAAAATTAGGTGGTGTAGATTTAGGGTGTGTGGCAGAGTGTTAGCTTAAGGCTGCTAATAGCCAGCTGCAAAAACAGTTTCTCTTGCATAATCCCCAGGGAAAAGGCTGCTTAAGGGGGTGCATTGCTAGGCCAGAAAACCATTTGGAAGACAAAGAAGAAAAGGAATGTGTACATCAATTTGAGAAAGACTATTACATGTAGCATTCTGCATCAGTATACACAGAGAAGGGCTTTAGGTATCCTATGGAGACCAAGGAGATTTTGTAGAGAAACCCTGGAACAAAATTGGAAATGCAGAATACTGTTTTCCACGTTTTGCATTACAAATTGCAGCATTGAGTGTTGACAGTTTGCATTTCAGATCTGATTAATGTATTTATATTTAGTGTCAGCATGGTAAAAAAACCATGTAATAAGATCATTCCAAATCTTACTTTCAATACGCAAGTTTCCAATTCCTAATCTGTGGGAAAAAAAATTAATCAAATATGTGCAATGATCCCTAGAGTGGATACCACAGTTTAAATTGCTAAGTATTTCAAGCTATCATCTCGGTAAATGTGCAATGAGAAAGATATCAGAGGTTTTTCTCTGGGGGCATTCATACCACCCGTCAGAGTTGAATAAATTGCAGCGCTTCATGCCTTCTAGTACCTTCTGTTCCCAAGATGTAAATATTTAATGTTAAAAGTTCAACCCACAATCTGAGATTGAAAGTACTGTACTGCAGTTTTATTTATTCGCCACATGTAGAAACTTGTAACTTAAATCAGTTAGTGGCTGGATTCAGACAATGCTGTTAACCAGGTCAGTAGTTTGTTTTAACCTTAGATTATTTTTATTATTTTATCACTCTGCTAAACAAATAATTCCCTCAACACTGTCAAACTATTTAGTAAGTCTGCACTAATATTAATCTTCTCATCGTTCCCCACCCATCTCCTTCTACTTATAACTGTATGACTGTAACTTTGTATCTACGATTTATATTGATATTGTTTCCTGATTGCTTATTTGTACCCTATGACTATCATTAAGTGTTGTACCTTATGATTCTTGATGAATGAATCTTTTCTTTTATGTATACTGAGAGCGTATGCACCAAGACAAATTCCTTGTGTGTCCAATCACACTTGGCCAATAAAAAATTCTATTCTATTCTATTCTATTCTATTCTATTCTATTCTATTCTATTCTATTCTATTCTATTCTATTCTATTCTATTCTATTCTATTCTATTCTATTCTATTCTATTCTAGACCCAAAGGTGTTATTTCCAAAAAGCAACTAGACTTTCTTGGGTTTTTTTCCTTTGAAAACATTTCACTTCTCATCCAAGAAGCTTCATCAGTTCTTGGATGAGAAGCAAAATTTTTAAAAGGAAAGAAAACCCCAAGAAAGTCCATTTGTCTTTTGGAAATAGCACCTTTGGGACAATCATGACCTGGATGATTGAGAATCTCCATAGAAATATAGTAGAGAACTCACAGTTTTCTTCTGCCCCAACTTCCTCTCTAAGGGAAGAATAATATAATTGATTCAGGATCTACCATTCTTGTTCCTGTTTGCTTGCTTTGAACTGTACCCATATAGGAACAGGTTGAGGAGTGAATAAGCATTAATCATCTCATTGTAGATAGGAGCTGTAAAGACCTTCTGCAGCGTGTCACAATTGCTTTTGTTTCACCACAATCCCTATAATACTGTATTTGGAGAAAGGCTTGACTTGTGAATAACTAGAAAAGAAATTTGCTGATTTTTATCACTGCGTCACTTCAGCTTTTTCCAGATGCTGTCGTTATTCAACATTTCTCACCGGGAAGAATTGTCCAGAAGAAGGGCTTCTCTTTAATTTTTATATTTATCTTGACAGTGTGGAGGCCAAATCAATGGAGGCGACATAGCCGTCTTTGCATCCAGAGCAGGCCATGGGGTGTGCTGGCATCCATCGTGCTTTATATGCAGCGTTTGCAATGAGCTGCTGGTGGATCTTATCTATTTCTATCAAGACGGAAAGATTTATTGTGGCCGGCACCATGCAGAATGCCTCAAACCTCGGTGCGCAGCCTGTGATGAGGTAAGACCAGTCAGGCGTGTTTGGTATTGGGGAAGGGGGCTTGAATAAGTGGGTAAATCATGTCAGGGATCATGTGTTAGGTAGTAAATCAGTCTAGGCTTCCAGATTTGCCTTGCCAGTTTATCTTTGCATCTTGTGGTTTGCAAATGATGAAATGTCTGAGAGCTGCTCTACATATCAACCCCGGTAGAGGCTTTTGGTTCTGACAGCCCATCCAAGTTTTCGTTGCCGAACAGCCCTCCACCCCCATCCTGCTGGGGCCTGGCCCTGTTCTCTTATATAAGCTAAGACTCCTACTGCTAACCACTCTTCTCTGGAACAGCCATTGCTCAAAAGGAATAAAAAAATAAACCATAATTGAACATGTTGCTTTTCGTTTTCTCCTTCTTTAGCCTGCCTGTCTGCAGCTGGGAGGCGAAAGAGCAAGGAGAATTGCAGTACAGTTGGGTGAACTTTCTAAAATAAATTTAGGAGAAAGAGTTAAATTATACTCCTATTTTATTACTGGAGAGTGTTACAATAACTCCATATCCTGGTTATTCTCAAATGATGGGATTGGAAGTTCAAACCTGTCGGGGTGGGTTCCACTTACCTTCGCTACCAGTTTGCAACGGGAGCGCACACGTGTGTGCGCGCTCACATGCGTGCGTGCTTGCTTCGCTCATGCGCTGTGCTGTGCATGCGCAAAACATATGTGATGACGTCAAGGCAGGTGGGCGGAGCCTCCCGCCGTCACTACTATCAGTTTGCAAGATCCGGAGTGAACCGGTAGGAACCCACCACTGAAACCTGTTGAGATAACAGGATCTCACAAAAAATTACCCTTCCAATCAACCTCAATGTAAAAAATAGCACTAGCAATAGCATTTAGACTTATATACCACCCCATAGTGTTTTATAACATTCTGTGGGAGGTTTACATAGTCAGGATATTGTCCCCAATAATCTGAATCCTCATTTTACTGACCCCAGGAAGGATGGAAGGCTGAGTAAATCTTGAGCCCCTGTCGGGATTGAACTACAGGCGATGGGGTTAAAACCTGCAAAGACACCCCTGACATATGTCTGCAATGTAGTGTAAGCATTTAAGGAAATTACGCATTGTTGCTGCAGTCCCATAACCTGGGAAGATACAGCTTCTGCTACACATACACCACTATTAACTGAAAGAGCAAAATGGTTTCTTGGTTACGATGCAAAACAAGCCACTGAAAACACATGAATACATTTGTTTATCAAATTTCTCACAAAAGGTATCTCACACGAAGTAATTGTGGGCAGCGTACAACAATTGGCAACAATAAATATATAAAACACTTATTAAAAACATCTCTGGAGAAGAAAAATTTGGGTAGTATGGCTTGTCTACGTTTAGAATTTTCCCCATAAAATAAAAGAGTCTGTGCTCTTTATTGAATTCCTGAATTGATGCAGAAGCTGATAGAACTCTGTGTTTTAGACCTGCGGGAAGTTCTTTTAATGTACTGATACCAAGAATGTTGCTTCCTCCTATGGCTTGTTAGATAGGAAGCAGAGCAATTGTTATAATGTGGGAGAGGCTATTTGTGCATGCTGATCTTTGCAGGGTGCTTCAGTTTTACCGGCATTGTTAGAGTTTTACAATTAAGGCTTTGGATGAGTATTTGTGTTTATCTGCCTGCCTGCCTGCCTTTTCTTTCTGTGAATCTCTACACTGAACATCTTGGCAAATGTTCTTCTTTTAATTATCTTTCCCCAAATCAATCAACTAACTAGCATATGGAATGCGTGGATGGCTATTGTTCACTTTCTCTTAGTTTTCTCTTTATTTCCCATGTTCCCCCTAGGAAGCATATCATCATAGTTTTGTGTCATACATCTTAGCTTATACTTTTATCTGCTTTCATGGGAGCAGCATAAGGCTAGGTGTGGCCTTGATCTATCTGTCATCTTATGCTCCGTAATTCACATAGGATTTATGATCCACAGTCTTCCTCCCTTCTGTTTCATCCTTTGTATTCTCAAATGTTGTATTTATACTTGTTCCCATCTCCTGGCATTTAGGAATCTATTTCCCATGGTTGAATGCAGCATCTGTCTCCTGAGGTAGACATTCTGCATTTTTAAATTATGAGCTGTCCTGAATCAGGACAGAAGATTATCTAGGCAGCCTCCTGTTTCTTTCTTTTTTATATAGTAGTTGTATTAAAAGTTACAATTACAACAGTAAAAATGAATACAAACTAAAAAAGAAAAAAAAATAGAAGGTGCAGAAAAGAAAAAAAGAAAGAAAAATAGAAAAGAAAGAAAAAATAAGAATGTGATAAAGAAAAGTAATGACTTTCCTTCATCACAAGTATAAACAATTTTAGTAATTTATCACTTTTTCTAAAAAAATAAATCAGATAACTTATTCTTCCTATATCTTACCTCTTATCTATAAATAAATCCATTCAGCCTCATCATTTTCAGTTCTGATGTCAATAAAAGTTTATTAAGGATTACAATAGATAAGAGCATACGTATATTAGCTTTGAACATATAGGCCAACTTTATATTTCTTCTTTTTACTTTTTATAATCCTGATCTTTACTCTTTTCAAATGTCATAGTATTCAATTTATTTTCTTTTTTTTTTTCTTTGTCCTGTTTCACAAAATTCTTTGAAGCTTTAACAAAGCTCTTGTAAATCCAGGATAGAAAAATTATCCACGTCACTCTCTTGTTAGTTATATATCACTTTCCATTATTAAACATTCTTTAGTATGTCCAGTGTAATATCCATGTCATTTTTAACAGAAATCCACTGTGAAATCAGTCTTACTATTGTCAGTTTGTCTTCCATAACATCTTTTGAACACAATCTATCTATAGAGGTAGACAGTCTGAAAATTAACTTCTGAGTCCACTGTTCAAAAATATCTATCAGTATCTCCAATATTAAAATATTTTGCTTCATTCTGAATTTGTAAGTCAAGTTTGAATGTTCTTCTTTAATTGTAATCATTAATTCCTTTGAGTTCCCTCTACTGACAAGTTTTAAAGTCATACTTTTAAAAAATTCCAAAACAAAAGCATTTTCCTACAAGAAGGATTCTTTGTAATTAATTATTTCAAATTTATTCAAAAATTCTTATTTCAAATTTATCTGGACCCTTAGCTCATTTGTAACTTTTTAAGATCAAAGTTTTAATCATCCTTTTGCTATTTATTCCACCCTACCTCCCAATAATTTAAATCCTTAAACTTATATTTAAAATTTATTACACTAAAGCAGAGGTCTTCAAACTTGGCAGCTTTATGACTCGTGCTGGCTGGAGAATTCTGGGAGTTGAAGTCCACGAGTCTTAAAGCTGCCAAGTTTGAAGACCTCTGCACTAAAGGTTGATGGTTAAGTGATTTACCTGAAAATCAGTTAACAAGCAATTTCCAAAAGCGGAAAAGGAAGTATGCAAACTTAATGTATTTTCAAAGGTGCCAACGGCAGTTTGAGCAAGATGGCTACTCCCTCATTCTCTCTAAATGGCCAGAGATCACAATCATGCAGTCTCCTCTCACCTCAACAGCTGTCTGGAGCACTTGTGGGTGACCTTAAATCCTGTCCTTATCTAGAGAGGAATTATCAACAAGCAGGTGTAGTCTCCAGCTCTTCATTCCCTTGTGGTCATCAAATCCCTTTTTTAACGGGGCCATCTTCAGTTCACCATTTCTTCTTGAGAAGGTGCAGCCTCCTGTTTCTTTTGTTGATCAAATAGACATCTCTAAACACCTCAATACCCAGCAATCGAGGTATACAAGCTTACATGTAATCATCACAAGTAGTAACCATTGGTGGTAGTTTCATTGAGAAAAAATGCATGTAATGCAAAATGCTCTTTATCATATGGAGTTGTGTGCTGACATTAAGCAAGGGCCAAGTTTAGAATTAAAACTATGCAAAAGGATTAAATCAGAGAAAGCTCTCTGGTTTTGACATTTGATCTTGAATTTCTCCTTTCAAAACACAGTGCCCTATTAATCACACAGCAGTGGTCCTCATTAGCCTGCAGTTGCAAATGCTTGAGTCCCCCTTCTCTCCCTCCCCCCCCCCCCCCCCCCCCCCCCCCCGCTTTGGAGATGTATAAGCCCTAACCACAGTCAGGGCTTGTATCCTGGGAAGTCCATCTTGGTCTTCTCTTATTACAGGAGCAAGTTTTCCTCTTTCTACGTTCCATTTGCTAAACAAGGAATGTGCCATTTCAAGTTACATGTTATCCTGGAACCATATATAGCCATTTCCACAGCAACTACGTGATCTGTTTATGCTGCAGAGGCAGCAAAAGAATTTGCTGTATCAAGAAGCCGAGGCAGAAGGGTCTTGAGGCAGCCCTACTGTGAAAAAAAAAACAAGCCAGATAGATGGCAGGAGAGCAAGGCCTGCAGAAGCAAAATAATACATTTGATAACTGTTTTACAGAGTAATTATTAAGTCAGTTATTTGTACTTCTCTAATTGTCCAGTTTGGTACAGCAACCAAACAGGACAGATGCAGACTCCAACAGATAGTTAGAACTGCAGAAAGAACAATTGCAACCAGCCTGCCTTCCATAGAAAACTTGTATATTGCGCAGGTCAGAAGGAGGGCTGAGAAAATATCTACAGACCCCTCACATCCTGGACATAAACCATTTCAACTCTTCCCCTCAGGAGAGCGCTATAGGATATTGCATACCAAAACAACTGGACACAAGGAAAAATTTTTCCCTCATGCCATCGCTCTGCTGAACACTTAATTCTCACAGTGGTGTCTAATACCTAGGTATACATCCATATAGTGTGGCTGTGGTATTGTTATTTATCCCTATTATCATTTTACTCCCCCCTTTTATTGGTGGTATTATTATTATTATATACTTTATTCATTAAACATGAAACTCAGTCAACTGAACATTCAAAAATGCATTATAAATACCCTTGACTGGTGCTAATGGTTGATATGGGTTACTATCAGCATCCTAGGTATCAACCAAGTACATTATTACCCTGTTTCCCCAAAAATAAGACATCCCCTGATAATAAGGCCAATCGGGCTTTTGAGCGAATGTGCTAAAATAAGCCCCCCCCCTGAAAATATTTAAACGCATGCACAGCCAGTCCCTGCCATTTCCTCTGGTTTCCTCCATGTGCTCCAAAATAATAAGACCTCTCCAAAAACAAGGCCAAGCACTTATTTCGGGGTTCAAAAAAATATAAGGCAGGGTCTTATTTTTGGGGAAACACATTATTATTATTATCATCATCATCATCATCATCATTATTATTATTATTATTATTATTATTATTATTATTATTATTATTATTCATTGCACAGTCAGTCAGATGTTCAGACTGGGTTTGGCATTTTGTCTGCCTATCGAGTCCTTACCAAGGACCTTGGGTAGGAGATCTGGATGTTTGATGGTGTTACAGATATCGTCGCAGGATGGAAGCTGTTCCAAGTAAAGCCGCGTTATGCAATTGACATTATTATTGTTATTATGTTGCTTTGCACGTACACTGAGAGCTTCTGTACCGGAAACAAATTCCTTGTGTGTCTAATCACGCTTAGAGTATTCTGTTCAATTCAATTCAGTTCAATTCAATACATATAAACAAATCCTGAGTTCTCCTTTTGGTTTTTACAGATTATCTTTGCTGACGAATGCACAGAAGCTGAAGGAAGGCATTGGCACATGAAGCACTTTTGCTGTTTTGAATGTGAAACTGTGCTGGGCGGCCAGCGGTACATCATGAAGGAAGGGCGTCCGTATTGCTGCAACTGCTTCGAGTCCTTATATGCAGAGTATTGTGACACCTGTGCTCAGCACATCGGTAAGGGAGCCGTTTAGAAATGCCACCTTTTGCTGCCAGTTGGCTGGTTTTGAAGTGGGAAAGTCTCAGGCCTTGATATGAAACAAAAACACTATTTTTTGTGTGCAGAACCCAAAACATGATAGGGCCTGTCAATATGCCGTTGCATTATATTGTTTAAGGTGATGTGCGCCTGTAGGCTAGCGGTTGAAACTGTTGTGTTTTAAAAGTACATGACAGGCCCTGGCATTTGTTTCTGACAAGCATGCAGTAACTCCTTGGCAGATATATGTAGGCACCTAGCTGGGTCCGTAGTCTAGATGCTGGCACCATTGCTTTTGGCAGAGATCAGCTGAAGCCAATGCCAACCACTGATGGGTCTCCTTTTTGCATCAATTCAAAGAAGCCATAGATGTTTCAATCCCACTCATAAAAAAGAACGGAGGAGGAGGAGGAAGAAGAAGAAATGGTCAGCAAGAGAGCAAGGAATAAGCATGTTTAGAAAGAAGATGGCCTCTCCAACCCATAATAGCAATTCCATTATTACTCTGCTCAGAAAATATTTTGCTGGCTATTCAGAAGCCAGCTGTGAAGTAAAGGTTACCTTTGAAAAATGTAAGGAGGGAGGGAGGAAGGAAGGAAGGAAGGATTTTTTCAAGTATGTGATACATGACAAAAACTAAATGCTAAATCCTAATTGAAACCAAATTCCCTGGAGCCAGGGGTGAAATCCAGCAGGTTCTGACAGGTTCTGGAGAACCGGTAGCAGAAATCTTGAGCAGTTCGGAGAACCGGCAAATACCACCTCTGGCTGGTCTCAGAGTGGGGTGGGAATGGAGATTTTGCAATATCCTTCCCCCAGGAGTGGGGTGGGAATGGAGATTTTGCAATATCCTTCCCCCAGGAGTGGGGTGGGAATGGAGATTTTGCAGTATCCTTCCTCTGCCACACCCACCAAGCCACGCCCACAGAACCGGTAGTAAAAAAAATTGGATTTCACCACTGCCTGGAGCTAAGATTTGAAATATATGGGCACAGGTTGTTCTGAGCCCTTTTTTTTCTGTGACTTTTAGAGGCTCACAACCAAATTCAGTGACACACTGTTCATCATGACAATATCCCAGTGGGGGGCAGAAAGGAAATAAGGATGCTTGTTAAACCCTGCCTCCTAAAAGTAATAACAAATGGATTATTCCAATACCATTTCTTCCAATGAAGTGATTTATCACTGTCCCACTTTTTTTTTTTAAATTTGATTTATATGCCGCCCTTCTCCGGAGACTCAGGGCGGCTTACAATGCGTTAAGCAATAGCCTTCATACTTTTTGTATATTTATACAAAGTCAGCTTATTGCCCCCACAAACTGGGTCCTCAATTTATCTACCTTAGAAAGGATGGAAGGCTGAGTCAACCTTGAGCCTTGGCGAGATTCAAACTAGCAGTAATTGCAGGCAGCTGAATGATAATAACAGGCTATTAGTCTGCTGCGCCACCAGGCTCTTAGGCAAGAAGAAAATGCCTCCCTTTGCTCTTCAATTTATAACATAGCTTGAGAAAGCTATTCATTTCTTTGGAAGGGTCCCTCCATTGGAGCATATTATTATGAAGACAAATTCAGCCAATTTGAATATAAATGAACTGAAGAAACTTCTTAGTTAAGAAGCAAAACATCTTCAAGCATAAACAAAGAAAATCTAGTTGCCTTTTGAAGAAGCACCTTTGGGAGAGCCATGACCTGGATGACTGAGAATCTCCATAGACATTTAGTTGATGGAAAGTTGGTATTCTGCCCATCTGAGCTTTCTAGTACTCAAAAGCAATTACATTCAAGTTGCCCATTATGAGCTAATGGGAAGGAAGAAGGATATTGTGATGAAGTACCATCCTTCTAGCAACTGGAAGAAATGCATAGGCACTCAGGGCCCAAGATTAAGTGAAACCCAACTGTCTGCATAATTAACGTTTTCCCTCTTATCAGTTGACAAAAAATGGTAGAAGGTATTTCTGTTTTCCCAGATCTTTGACATAGCTTTGTAAATGCACATTGTTCCTGTATTTTATTCCTCCTGTTTATTGCACACAATCATTATCCTTTTTTAAAAGTCTATTTACAAATAGCAGTGTTTTATTTTCCAGTTCCCTGATTATTGATTAGCAATAGGCGGTGGGTTTTTAAAAATTATAATATACTGTTATATTCAATCCAAAAGAGATTTCCAGTGATACTAGCTGTGTGGGAACACCTATGTTAAGAGGTGGGGGGAAGGGGATTTTAATGAGTGGCTCAATAGTATACTGTTTAGATGGTATAGATCAATGTTTTTCAACCTTGGCAACTTTAGAGATGTGGACTTCAACTCCCAGAATTCCCTAGCCAGCTGCCTGGTGACTTCTGGAAGTTGAAATTTCACATCTCTTAAAGTTGCCAAGGTTGAGAAAACTGGCATAACTTATTTGCATTGAAGAACGATAAAAGAATGAGATTGTGTTATCACAATCTTGGTCTGCCTTCCATTGAAGGAGCATGAAATGTTACAGCATTCAAAATGTCTGAAAAGCACTAGAAATCCTACATCTAAATATATTATCTTATACCTGGGAACAAGAGTCAATTAAATTCAGTGGGACTTAGTAGACAGTAAGCATGTCTAGCTAGCAGGATAATTTAGGAACAAATAATGGTGAGAAGGGGTGGGGGAATCATCCTTATACTAAATCTTTCAGCTATTAGAATCAAGACAAGCTATAATTACGTTATTAAAATAAATATCACAATTTCACCTATCGGGAACAATGGCGCCTCTAAACAGTTTCAAAAATAACCCTTCTCTTCCCCCCCCCTCCCGAAATATGAACACACATTATCATGAGGACGCAAGGATTTTGCTTTATTTGCCAGAATAGACTAAAGCTGTAGTGTAGCAACATGCTGCAAGCTCCACCCCTTTCATGCATGTATGCAGTATTGCAGTGCATGTAGAAAAGAGGTGGGATTTCCATCGCAATGCTGTACCTCTGCTTTTTTCTTTCTGCCCTGCTCTGCATTCCCTGTGGGTGCCACCGTACACTCTGCTATATAAAAAAATGCACACACATTTCAGTGAGAAACTTCAGCACCACAGCCACCATGTTTCTGTTGAAGTTAATAGAAACTGAATTTTACATGGACATCAAGGAAATTAAACGGGCAAATCGACTTAATTGTCTTTCGAAGTTGCTCCATGCTATTTTTTGAATAATGTTATGTCAACCAGAATGGTGGTCTAGCAAAAACTTACCAGCCTTAATAGATTGTGAGTTTAATTTGAATTAAAATCAGCCTTCAGTTAACTCAGACTTACTGTGAATATAGTGACCCAGTACTTTGTGTTACAGTGTTTATATGTGTGTCACTCCTGGTGACTTTCGGGATAAGTCCCTGCAATTTCCTTGGCAAGATTTTCAGAAGTGGCTTCCATTGCCTACTTCCTAGGGCTGTGAGAGAGTGCCTGGCTATCCTATCCTCTTTTGCCAACTTGGCTAATCATGATGGCTGAAGGTCACTACAATTATAGTCCAAGGCAGCAGAGCACAGATTGTATACTATCTACTTTTTTCCATGACTGTTGAGAATTTAACCAATTGGAACTAATTGTGAAATAGTGGGTAATAGTACAACCCACCTGTAGAATTAAAGGGTAGACATTTCCTAAGAATAATAGAACAGGTCCTTTTTAAGCAGATGATCAGCATAGGTATTTGTTCTAGGTGCAAAAAAACTGAACTTTCATCCCCTTCAAATGCTTTATTTCTTAGTTCATCCTCAAAATATCTTCTATCACCAACTTCTTAATTTTCAAAATGAGGAACACCTGATTTGCAGCAAAATAGAACATTTTTTTAAAATTGTGTGTTAGTGTGTATATGTGTCTGTTACGGATGAGGGCCAGTGTGGTATAGTGGTGCTGGTTTGGAAGTGAGGAGCCCCAGGTCCTTGTCCTCCCTTAGGGATAGAAGCCAACTTGGGGACAATTTATTTTCTCTTAGTCTTAGAAAAACATTTAATTACCAACTTTCACTGAACCAGCATGGTAGATTATAATCCATAACTTTCAATAAAGGGATTGCCATTTTGCAGTGGATTGTCATGGATGGATGGATGGATGGATGGATGGATGGATGGATGGATGGATGGGTGGATGGATGGATATTCATTCCAGTTTTTTTTAATCATCCTTCTGCAGTTCCTTTATGGAGCATTATCTTGCAATTTAAAGGGGATTGAATATCCCATTCATAATGAGCTATCTATTGGTAGTGTAAATTCTCAGAAGGGACTGCCACAATGGGAAAAGAATACAAGAGAGATCAGACTGAGTATGTTCTATTACAGAAGGAAATGTCAACATACTTCAGTATTCTCTGTCAAGAAAACCAAAACCATGTCAGTATATTCTCTGCCAAAAAAACCAAACCAAATGATTTATAGTCACTCATAACCAGAAGAATGTCAACATGATCATGGAAAATGAGACTTTTTCACGAGGTCATAACAGGTCCAACAAGGTACTAGACAAGAACAGAATTTAAGTATGAGAAATCTTGGTGCTTATATGCCATAAGGACATCCAGCTATAGATGTGCCAGAGCCAAAACACAAGTTTGATGCTACAGAGATATGTACATTGATACATTGGTACATTGGTATGTGAAATGTCAGAACCTTAGAGAAAGACAAGCATCCTGTTGTCAGAGGCAAGCACCAAGACTGAACATTGATATTCAGGGAATCAGAGAATTAAAGTAGTTTGGACTGGATCCCTTCCCATTGAGCATCAGATCTACTGTGGATAAGAATATCATACAGAAATGGAGAAGCCATTATTATTTACAGAAGGGTATAAACTGAGCTCAGATACATCTCCCTCCAAAATAATAAAATAACTTCAATAAGTAAGCTAACAAATGTTATTATGACTCAGGTCTAGGCTTTATCCACAAATATGGAGGGTGGTACTATCTTTTTCAATCTTTCAGTACC